ACGATCACAATAACCGGGCGGAGAGTTGAGTGGGCACACACACACACAACGTGGTAGTTTAAGAATAATAATAATAATACATCACAAAAGAACCGATGTGCCGTATGATTATTATCTTTGTAGTTTGTCAGTGTTGATGTTGCCTGTATACATAATGCCGTGCACTCCAGATCGGACGCCAACGTCTTCGCTGCGCACGGCATAGTAGTACTGGGAATTACGTTTTGCAGACGAATGCCGATTCGAAACGCTGACCGAATGAGATGAGCAACGCGAACCGGTCGACTAGCAAAAGGGCGTCGAGTATTATCACGCGACGGTCAGTGGAAAATAAAAAAAAAACGAACCGAAAGCGTTAGTATGACATCGCGCGTACGTCGAAAACACTGCACTGATTCGGGTGTACATATTAACGAAGTTATCTCTTGACGTTTTGTCGTCCGGAGCGTTTACCGGCGTTGTTCGGCTACACCGACGGCCCCGATCCAACGACGGTCGGTGATCGGTCAACGACGATCAGGCGGGTTAGGACTGTCCCGGTCAGCGCAGTGCGATGATCAGCGTAATCTGGACACCAAGAACCTCGCGGGATACGGACACCTGCGGTGGACGCGGAGACTGTGCATGTGTCGCGAGGTCGATTCCTGGTTGTTGCGTTTCTGGAACACGGCTACGAGACGATGACGATGACGTATACATTACAGACATCTCACGTGTTGCTTAACGTTCCCGTCACGGGACCGCAGACGACTGCGACGGCTTTGATGCGCGCACGCGCCGCAGCTTACCTTGCGTACGAAACGTGTCGTCCGCGATGTAAAATCGTTGTTGTCGCGAATCACGGTGCGATGGATGTTCCAGACGTACGTGTCGCGCACCGATCTATCCGGGATATGGCTTTGTCCAAACTTGAGTAATCTAAACTAATCAGTTTTAGTCTGATTTTTAAGATTCGATATGGGATTACGCGAAAAATAATTCGAATTCGTACGCTAAAGATGATTTAATTAAAACAAACACAAAAATTACGTGCGACTTTAGAACCAGCGTGACGCACACGTGTGCCGACCAAAAAGTCTCATCCACTCGCGTCGTTCACGTGGTCTTTAATACTATTCACATTTTACTCTCTTGTAAACAGTATTAACTAAAGTATAATATACACGTATTACCCGTAAATACTTTTATATGTATCTATAGAAGTTCTGGCATACATGACGGTACGCTACTGTTTCGCGTCTTGGTCCAATAGAGTGTTTGTTGATCATTAATAATTTTTAATCAATTAAGAATCGTTTTATACATCGAAAACAGTCATATTATTTATTACAAAAGTCTTGTCTGCTCGTCCGTAGACAGCTGCGGTATTGTCTGGTAAAATTTCCGTAGCATTTGACTGTATAGTTGTCTGGTCGAACGTCTCCAGTTGTCAATGTAGTCAAGTATTCTGCAGTTATTAGCTATGTATAATTACAGTTGCCTATAACTGCAGTTCACTGATTTCTCTAGGTATTTTTTTTTATAGTTCTGTGAAAAGTTTCATTTGTCTTTTTAGATGGTGGTTTGTACATGATGTCAGGAGTAAATCATATTATTAGTAATTATTGTATTAGTATAATTATCTTTCAAATTATTCGATTTCACGATATATTTGATTCAAATATATCGTGAAATTCGAAGTAGTCGTTGAAAATTGTTATTAGGCAATATATTTTACATAATATCAATGTGTACGTGACACGATATAAGATCGATATACACTTCGTATACAATACTCTATGTTAGCAAATTCTTTACACGGCAAGAGCAATCCGACGAATCCCGAACTTTCGTAGTTTTTATGAAAACCTATCTCAAAAATCTTAAATTTAAGCGAACGCTCATGAACTAATTGATATTTCAGCACAAGCAAAACGCACATGTGTATTGTTTATTATAGTTATTATGAAACGGTCGTAAAATTATATCGTAAACGCCATATAGCTTATTTTATATTATGCAACGCTTAAGATTTTGTTTTAGAATGCGATTGTTGCCGCTACTGCTGCTGCTGTCCAGCGATAATATGTCACACACGTGTAGGAGCTGTGTATATTATAAACAAACCCACGCACATGTATCAATGAGGTGAATTCTGCCGCACACGTGGTATATTTGTCTAGAGTCCATTAGCTGATTACACGATCCACGTTCAGGTCCGTACTATGAGAGGAACGTGTTTGCAACGTGACACTTACCTGTGAAAATAAAATTCTATGGATTTCAAATTCCAAGATTTGAACGTGAAAAATGTATATACAGAGACGTGTCCAGGATTAAAATATAGGACAGGCCCAGTTATAATTATTTTAATTTATATAGGTACCTATACATTATTTTTTTCTTGTAAAATTTTCATAAAATGTTTTAATTTAATTAAAAAAAATTATCATTTAATATAATATAACACATTTTTTCTTATCTGACTTGTTAATAATATTTAAATATATTTATTTATTTATTTATTTTTTTTATTGATCAAAATTACAACTTCGGCAGCTATGGCCATTAGTAACATTTTTTTTTTTTAATTTATCAGAGAAATGATTGATAGATTATTTACATATTAAAAAGGTTGTGTTATGAAAAAGTGTTGTTTATTTTATATTGATTTTTCCAGTCCGGTGTCCTTGAGGAAAGGAACACCTAATTTCAATTTAATAAAATTTCTGACATAAAAAAATCCATAGCTCTCACAACACCTGGCAAAACCATTGGTCAAAACAATCAACAAAATTAAATATGATAAAACAAAATATTGAACCTTGGCCTCAAATCCACACCTCGAGAAAAATAAACTCAATAATTAATCGATTGAGAATAAGACACACTCGACTAACTTATGGTTATTTAATGGACAACAAAGAACCAACTTTATGCTCCTCATGCAACGAAAAATTATCAATTAAACATATAATAACAGAATGCCGCTCATACCTCACCAAAAAAATCAAATAGAATATCCCTTCAAACTTGTACGAAACAATAGGACCATATATCTCCTCTTAAATATATTAATAATGTTGTAAATAATATGAATAATAACTATTTGAAAACTGGATAGGCCCGGGCCTACCAGACCAATCCGCTGGGCATGCTGCTGTGTATATACGAGTATACGTATACTTACTCAGTAATGAAACTTTTTGGCTGTAAATCAGCTGCACAAAAGTCTTACATTATACAAAAGGCATAAAAAGATTTTAATTATTTAAGATTCTACTTAAGGTAAAAATGCAATTTTTAAGAATAAATAATGAATTTCAATGCCAAAAAAATTATTATTGCTTCCAATTATTTACAAGTAATAAAATAATAAAAGACAAAAATACTTTGGGTCATTATCATGCTTTTTACATGCATTTCAAAATGGTTTAATATATAATTTTAACAATCATTTCAATAATTTATTACGTATTTACACTCCGCATTAAGCTGATGCCCATAATAAAATTATTTATAAGAATAATGTGTTGCTTTTCATGTATGAATATTTAATTTATCTCTTTAAAATGATTTATTTATAAAATATAAGACATGTTTTTATAAATTTATTATTTGTAATTGTAATAATTCTAAAATAAATTGTTTTAGATAAACTTATTTTTAGTATCTTATATAATTTTCATTGTTTATCAATGCAATCTGATAAATTAAAAGTTATTATTTATCGAAAAAAACAACTATAAATTTCAGTTTATTCATCGCTAAGTTATAAAATTAATAGAAATACAGTAGTCTATTTTATGGAAAACATGAGTCATGTAAATATTTTCCCTGTAGAATTATCATAGGACGTGCCGGGTGTACTTAGGCATTAACCGAAAATTATACTTTTTAGTTACTATAGTATAGTCGATATAAGTATGCGATAAGTATATACCGATGATAAATAATACATTTATATTGCTTTATTTTTTCTCTGTCCATTTGATTCTGTTGTAATAGTTCTACTAAGAAGAATGAAGTAAGAAAATTATCAATAAAATGATTACATACACTTTTTGTATGGTATGATATTTAATTAATTGATATAATTGTGATAACTTATTTAAAGATAGTGTATGAATGAATTATTAGTTTGTATTATCCAGTATTGAAAGGTAATAAAAGTTTATTAGGGGAGATTAACCTCCTGCCATTCACCTAATTAATTCATTTTTCTCGGTCACGCCCCAAACTTAAAGTCTGCGCACGCCTATGATTATAATTGAGGTTTTTATACTACATATGTTTAACGTTAAATTCTTCCGATTTCATACGAGGTTTTTATTCGGTGAAAATCCAGACATTTAATCTAAAAATCAATTCAAATTGAAAATTTAACAACAGTAGAAATAATTTCTACTATTTCTATCCACTACTAACCTGATGCAGAAGAATTTATCACGCTATACTCTTTACTTTAAGCGCCAAATCATGGGGTACCATAGAAAGCGGTAATTTGTCTACATATATTCATATTGTTTTATTTATGTTTCTTGAAACAAGGATTAAACTGATTTTCGAACGGACGCAATATTCACGTATACGAGTAGACAGCCCTACATATGGGCGGTGAAACCTTAAACATTGTTCTGCGTGTTGATTACGTGCCACTGGCAGGCGATCGAGTGCTTCGAATCCGGTCCATGTTTTTTCCTGACGCGTTGTCGTCCGATCGACCGTCGCATATTTTCAGTCGTCTAATCTGCGCCGCGACGTGTTGCTCGGTACACACGTCATACTTCTAAAACATACGATCGCAAAGATTTTTTTTTTTTAATTCTCTCGTCCTCACAACCGTACGTCACATTGTATTCGAGCATGTTAATATTATTATTATGTCAACGCGGGTAACTCTCGGTTCTGCGGGGAGAACCGTTGCTGTTACAACCCTTTGTGAGCGCAGGCGCACGCGCACTTCACGATCGCGACAATACTACTACTACCGGTATCGCTGCCTCGTCCCCCCGCCGCCGCCGAAGGCTACACCAAAGCCGTGCGTTGCCGTCGACGACAACGCCCGCGGACTAGTAGTAGTAGTCGAGACGTCGACGCAAACCACTTCGTTCCTGTCGGAGAAACACACGGCACACGCACGCGTTCGCGCGATCGTTCGATCTCACATCAGCAGACTACAGGATTTATTATTATAATTATTATCATCATTATCATCATCATCATCATCATCGCACTCGTCGCTGCCGCCAAGACGTTTGAATCGGCGAACGCCGTAACGTATCGAAGTTCATCATTTCGTGTAAACCTTGTACGTCGTCCGCTCATTGTCGTGTTCCCTGCACTTACTTATCGTACCGCGGGCAGTTCAGCTGCGCTACCGGTGTTCTTCACCGGGAATAGTGCGTGACCGAGGGAAATATAGAGGCAAAAAAATAAGGTGACGGTGCCGAAATCGCTAGACTTCTCCACTTCGGCTGCGGCCGCGGATTTTCGCTTTAACAACGGCTGCAACAGCAGCAGGAGCAGTGACAGCAGTAGAGACGGTTTCAGGACCTGAACCCGCACATGATTTGAGAGGTTTGTAAAATCTAATTATCCGTTTTTTTTTGTTCTATACATCATCCATTCGACTTGCTTGTCGCACGCGCGATACTTTTCGATTGTCTGAGCACAACTATCCGAGTGCATTTAATAGCGTATAAAAATCTATGTGACGACCGGCATAACGTTTGAGAAAACGCCGCGACCGTGGCTACGTATGGCCCGCGTGCCATATGTATAATATGGTTAAACGTTATACCGGGAACGGCGAGGGTTCGCGTACATGTACGTGGTACAGGGGACGAACGGAAAACCACGCGTCGTAACATCAATTTGCTTTCGGGAACACATTGTTCTATGCGTAGTACAACTCGTTTCGAACAGATTAAGTATACGTACATGTGGTTATATGCATCGTGGTTAAGTCGCGTGAAGCCACGAGTGGACGCCGAACGTAGTAGCAGCAACTAAACAAGAGAAAAACGAGATTCACAATTTTAAGCGATTTTAGATCGTTAAAATTAAGTCCCAAAGATCTTCCATCCTAGTTTGCTTTTGATTTTGATATGAACAGCTTTAAAATTAGATTATCAACAGTGCTAAATATTTAGACTAAACAAAATGTGAATATAAAAAAAAAAATCACTTGGGGAGAGTTTCCAAATAGATAGATTATTTAAAGTGCCAATTTGAAGTAAATAAAGAATTTTTCTAGCACTTTCAACATTCTTACATTTAAGTATAACATATACTTACTAGTAGTTAGGTTTGTTTTAGTCTGAAGAAATATATTCACAATTTATTTTGAAATAATGCAGAAAACAAACGAGCTTACTTTAGGTGTCTATCACGTATTCGGACATTTTCTCCTATTGCTTCTCATTTAAATGCACCGTTAGTCAATCGAGTACGGTATAATACGGCGGTGATGTAGAACGTATAATATTGTATAATACTTGTGCAAAGGGTTCAACAAATTCTGTACCGACCAGACAACAAGAAACTATATGTTTTAAAACTGAATATAGTTTATGTATAGTAGCTATAATTACTGCTTGTGGTTTTTACGGTAACGTTTTGACTGCCTAGCGGTGTTCAGATCCAAAGAAGTCGATTTAATGTCATGCATTGTTATTAATTATTGTGATTGTACCTAATCGAAATTGGTACAAGCACAATTAAGGTATATTTAACCCTTAACCAATCTCGGCAAATAATATAAAATATGTCAGATAATAGACGGGTAGTGTTCGCCAAAACTAAAATTAATTTAATTTGATTAAAAAATAATTTACAAACTGATATTCCAAAATAACCAACAAAATTAAATGCACTGAAAATAATGTCACAAATACTGAACGTATGCTACAGATAAATGTGGAAAATGTGGATAAGAATCTTTTACTGTCTATAATAATATTAGTCATTGATAACCGGTATTTGGGAAATAAACGACTCGATCTACTTATCGATTGGAAATAATTCTATACCTCCGATATATATACATTGAACCGTTATCCGTTATTGATTGGTATCAAATGTTCTTTTATTTTTTCGCCCTTCGCAGAACGGACAATTCTCGACGACTATCGCCCGGGAAGATAGTTTTATTTGTTTAATATATATTTTTATATATGCACGTAGAAAATGATCCTATAACGTATCCTATACACCAGTGGTTCTCAACCGAGGTGATATGTCACCCTTGGGTGACATGGACGCATTGTAGGGGTGATACGAAATCTCCAAGGGAAAAGGAAAAAAATAAAAAAATAATTAATTTTAATAAAATCATATTATTGCCACAACTGTCATGTAAACAGCATACCTTTAAATTTGTGTCTTTATATTATTTAGATCCGATAAATACGTGCAGTATTTTTATTTGCGTAATCGCTGCATTTTCGATGATCTTATTAATTTAACCGGGGTCGTTAGTCAATTATTTTGCAGTCGCTAGATATGTTATAGAGATATGATATAGAGTGTTATAACTCTACTACTCTAGAAGACAATATGAGACTTTGTCTTTTCACCATCAGCCCTCGACTTCCTCAATTTTGTAAAAACCTCCAGAGCTCAATTTCTCATTAGTTTTCATACAAATCATTATTATTTTTCTCATTTTTTTTTTTTTTTTAATTTGTAAATTTAAACTTTTAACTGATAATGTTTATTAATCCCTGCGACTCAAATAAATTGTATGTGTACTTATTATTTTTCTATGTACTTTATTTTTTTTTTTTTGTTATTTCAAGATTTAAAATACACAATTAAGATTATTTATTATTTTGATGTTAGGGTGATGCGGTGTTTAATTCTAGTGGCTAAAGGTGACATGAACGAGAAAAGGATGAGAACCATTGCTATACACTATATGCACTGTAACCTAGTGCGTGCACAACACGACGGTACGGCCGAGGGGGGGGGGGTGCTGTAAATTAGACAATAAAAGGCGTACGACAGGCCGGATCCATATCAACCCGTTTTTCGCTCAGATCCGCGGCTAGAGAGTGCAGCAGCGCGATACTTCCATACGGATTCGTTTACTTGTCGCATCGTACACAACGTCGTATAATATGTACGATGTTTTATATATATATACTTGTACGACACGAGTATAAGCGGACACGTGTGTACACGTTCGTACTGCGTGTGTGATGGCGGGCGATGCGTCGTGTTTGCGAAGATTTACACGTCTGACCGGCGCGCGTACAATATACAATGTCGTTGTATTATTATTATTACTATTATTATGATCGTGTCATCGTTTTCATATTTTTATCTAGCGCTCGCTCGCACACGGCGTCCGTGAGACATCGGCGAACGGTCGGCCAACACGTCCAACCACTCTGCCGGACGCCCCTGTCACGGCACGGGTCGTCTTGGCGTTTTATCTGGTCCATTCGTTTTGTTTCACGCCCGCGTCGCGACTAGCGACAGCGCGACTCCGCACTGCGCCTTATCCTGCTACATCGGCGGCGGCAGCAGCAGCCGGCAGTCACGTCGCGTTATCGGCGCGAAAGATCTTCGCTGTCGCGTCATCCCGCAGCGGTTGC